ATTTATTGTTGTTGTGCTTTTTAATTAAGAATAACAATGAATCCATCTTTTGTTTTAGTCTTAAAAAAATGAAAGGTGCATAGATGCATGTAAGCAAAACAGTGACAACAAGATCACGAATTCAAAAGTGAAAGCATTCGAAGCCCGCAAATAATCGCGATTAGACGGTTATTTAATTATCGCGACAGGCCTATTCACAAGCATTAATAATTCTTATCAACCCCAAATTTTTGAACAGCATTGTATATTCAGATATAATAGTTCTGAAAACAAGTTTAACACCCTTTGCAGTTTTACTTCTAAAGCAAGTTGACCTTATTTGAAGGCTACTTTAAAGCAGTTTAATGACAGATAAAAGGGCTCCATACGCCCGATCCAAGTTTCTCCTCTGTGGTTAACAGCACAGACCTGAAACACGGCGCGGTGGTCCTCCAGAACCTGCTCCTCCATCTCCACCAGCTGAGACACCACCTCATGGAAGTTGAAGAGCTGCGGGGACACTTCCTCTTCCTGTGCACAACATCAACACACAGTGTCAGGTTTTCATACCAGCCCAAACAAGCTGAGCTGGGAGGTTAAATGGCTTACGTTTTGTTCACAGAGCAGCTTGAGATCGTCTCTCTGAGGAGAGCTGCCCACTCCCCACTGCGCCTCCAGCACGTCCAGCTGACTGAGCGAGTGTCCGGCGCTCCGTCCCTCCATCACCGCACTGGGGTCGATGCTCAGCTCCTTCACCCTACGGTCACAGACAGCGTCTCAGTTCACCACAGTCAACATGTAACAGCATTTATGATCCAATAAACCAACAGAAAAGGGTAATGTTACATAAACATGTTCATGCAGCATGATAATGACGAACTCCAGTTGCTCTATAAGGCACAAGCAAACACAAACCAACATGTTAGTGCAGCTGCAACGCAAAACAGAAACATGCCTGAAATGGGACAAATGGACTCAAAAAAACAAGGGACCAAAACGTAAAGAGGCACATGGAGCGTAACGCAAGCGAATCATTAGAAACACAGGACTGGTATGGAGGCTCTGTCTGAAGTGAGACAGGCTTGAAACTGGAAAAGGGCGAGACCTGCTGGGTGAGGTTGCAAAGTCATCGTACTCATAGGTAGGAGAGAGTTCGGAGCGCCCGCCGCCCCCCTGAGAGAAGGGAATGTCGGAGGGACTGATCCCAAACTCCTTCACTCTGAAGACGGGACAACATACGGGAATTACAAACCCCTCCAACACAAACTACATCCTAACCCTAACATTCAGCTGTTACAGGAAGATTCCGGATTCATAAACTTTGGAAATGAGTTAAAGTTTTAGTTCACCCAAAAATGAAAATTCTGTCATTAATTACTCACCCTCGTGTTGTTCCAAACCCGTAAGACCTTCGTTCATCTTCGGAACACAATTTAAGATATTTTTGATGAAATCTGAGGGCTCTCTGACCCTCCCATAGACAGCAAGGTAACTACCACGTTCAAGGTCCAGAAAAGTACCAAGATGATCGACAAAGTAGTCCGTGTGACATCAGTGGTTCAACTGTAAAGTTACGAAGCTACGAGAATACTTTTTTGCGCAAAGAAAACAAAAATAACGACTTTATTCCACATTTTCATCTCTACTGCGTCACTTGTGGACTCGCGTTCACGACAGTATCATGACGTGAGCGTGTGGCGGCGCCGGCGCTGACCCAGATCCGGCATAATGACGATGATTGTCGATCATCTTGGTACTTTTCTCAACCTTGAACGTGGTAGTTACCTTGCTGTCTATGGGAGGGTCAGAGAGCTCTCAGATTTCATCAAAAATATCTTAAATTGTGTTCCGAAGAGGAACGAAGGTCTTACGGGTTTTCTAACAACACGAGGGTGAGTAATTAATGACAGAATTTTCATTTTTGGGTGAACTAACCCTTTAAACATAAAACACACTCGAGCAGTGAAAACGCACAAAATATAAATTATATTTTATTCTATATAAATATATAAAGGTACAATATATTTGGTTATAAAAATAGAACTTTACAAATCATTAAAATGGTTAAATTTGAATAATATAAAAAAATAAATATATTCATATGTACAAAAAAATTATATTTATTTATAGAATGTGTATATATCTACAGTGGTGGCCAAAATAGTTAGAACACTTGGCATATTTAAGAGGTTTCAGTTGTTTTTGTTGAATTGGCCATTACAGTACCCATAAAACGAACTATTGCCAGAGCTACCTGCGACGGAAGGAATCTGCTGGAACATTGAAAATGATGGACTGGCCCCTCAAAGTCCGGACTTCAACCCCATCAAGCTAATTTGGGGCGAGTTGGAAAATAAACTGGACAGATCTATTGTGCATCCAAAGGGAAGCCTTTGGCTTGAGTTGCAGAAGGCATGGGATAACATAGTGTTGAAGTTCTCAGGAAATATATTGACACTATGCCAGAGAGATCTGCTGCTCTTATTGCTGCAAAAGGTGGACATACCAAATACTAAAGTTAAAAGTGGATAAACACAGTACGACTCACTTCATCTGATATTTGTTGTGCTCAGATCAACCATCTGCATGTTTCATGAACATTATGAAATGAAATCATGTTTTGGAGGCAAAAAAGGTCAATATTTTCAGATCTGTCAGGTGTTCTAACAATTTTGGCCACCACTGTATATAGATATACTTTTATTATTTATTTATTTTTTAAATAATCTGTAAAAATATTTATTTTAGTGCTGTCAAACGATTAATTGCATACAAAATAAATGTTTTGTTTGCATAATATATGTGTGTGATCTGTGTATATTTATTATATATGTAAGCGATAATCAACAGCTAGCCATGCATTAAAGAATTTTAAATGCACAACGTGGAGGCAAAGAACCGCCCGACGCGAAGCGGATATTTATATTCATATAATTTATATTGTAAATAAATATATTTAAAATATAAACAAAATATTTTTCTGAAATATATACATGCATGTGTATTTATATATACATAATAAATATACACAGCACACATACATATATTATGTAAACAAAAACTTATTTTGGATGCGATTAATCGTTTGACAGCACTAATTTATTTATTACTATATTTTACTTACATGCAATTATTTAAACTCATTAATTGTTTTTAAATTCTTGTGAAAAATATGCGTAATCAATTGAAATAAAAAACTATACAATTATAAAAATATAAAGAATGTATTAATACAAAGTTAAAGGATTATACATAATTTCAGAATTGTATTAATTAATGTTTTACATAACAAATTTTAATAAGAAAATAATGTAAATTTATGAATATGTACATAAATAGTGTGCACAATAATAAATGTATTTTATATATTTAAAATTATTCTGTAAATATATTATATTTTTACATATAGTTCTTAAAACTCATACAAAATCTATTTTTATTTTCTTGTGAAAAAAATGTGTGTACATGATTATAATATATTTATGATTTTTTTCCATTAATTACAGCCCCCAGATCTCACTGGTTGTGACTGTCTGGTTACTTGCTTTATAAAAGTTGAAAAAAGGGTTAAACAACATTCAGCAAATATCTGGATACAGTGAAGGGCTTCATGTAGTGTATACAACATTTTGTGTGTGTAACAGCAGCTGCAGTGTCTGCTGGGCTCACATCCGTACCTGTTGGCGTATCTCAGAGTGTTTAATGTGTTTTCACATGATGCCATTCCAGGAGAGATTGTAGCGATCTATTCACAAAAGATCAAAATCACTCACAAATACACAAATGTCACCGTGTTGAAAATGAATATATGAATATCATCCCAGTGTTCTTACCATACATGTCCTAGAGTTTTCTCCGATGAAGGAATCTCTCAAGACCTGCGTGAGTTTACTGGCTCGAAACGGAGTGTGTGGTTTGTTTCGACCCAAAGCCCTGATGCACTCCTGTCACACAAACATGAATCGACCCAGATACTAACATGATAATACGGTTTCTCAATTCACAGGCGTGGACCATCAAAACATGGGCAAATCACATGGTTCTGGAGCCGTGCGAGACGATGTGGAGCACAAACCTTCAGCGCCAGCAGACTTTTGTTGATCTCGGCCCCCTCGAGCCTCGTCTGTCGGTCGGCGCTCGACGTGTCCGCCCCTCGTTCGTTCCCCGCCAGGTCGATGAGAGAGAATTTACCGTGCATTTTGCCCCTCCTGCGGAGGATAATCTGAAACACGGCGTGACTGCGGGACGAGTGAGCGTTAGCCGAGGTCTGTCCGGACGTCCTGAGGAAAAGCACACACAAATACCATACTGTGACTGGTTTTAATGGTGTCACTGAATAATTACACTCATAAAAAACTTCAGATTTTTACAAATTATTCATATAAATAAAAAAAGACTTTGAAATTCTTTATATAAATGTGTGTGTGTGTTTATGTATATATATATATATATATATA